GCCCTTTCTTTTATTTTGTTGTTTTAGTGTTTAAAAAAAAAAAAAAAAAAAAGTGGAGTCCTCAATGTAAACATTCCATTGTAGTGTTTAGTTGTTCTCGTGAGAAAAAAAAAATTGTCAAATGGGAATGAAGAATGCACAGGCAATTTATTTTCATGTTGCTGTTATTTTATCTTCACGTTCATAATTTTTTGTTTTTTTTTGGTGGGGGGGCAAAAATATTTCCGTTTGCTAAAACCAGATGAGGTTTTGTCCTAATTGTGATGTTGCCTTTCCCCGCTCGCTCCCACCAAGCCTGTAACTGGACTAATTGCGTATGCAAATCAGGCAATTTCTATTTAAATGATGCATTTCCATCGTGCCGTCCCCGAGGCCCGGCCGACGAGCAGGGGAATGCGCTTGAATATTTATCACCAACTGTAAACATTTTCCCAGCAGATGCATTGTCTCCTCGCTAGCCATTGTGTTAAAACATAACAAACAAAAAAAAAACCTAACAAAAACTATTTTGCAATCTTCCCCCGCAGGGCAAAACTCAAAGCAGGAAACGGCGGCGATTATCCCTGCGTTAAAAAAAAAAAAGGATGCCGACACTGTTTTTTGGCATAAATGCGCCTGTCGCTTAACTTAATGGCCTTACACTTGTTTTTCCAATTGTGTGTTTGTTTTCCGTGTCAAATGAGTGCTCGTCAAAATGGAGGATCGCCCCCCCGCACTCACCCAACCGCCTGAAGTGTGTCATGCGCGGAATTGTGATTACGAGCCGAAAGGCTGCCGACGGAAGTGACACTGGATTCAATTTAAATGCATATGACTCGGGCGCAGCGTTTTCTTTCATCTTTTCAGCCAACGGAATCGCGCTCGTCCGCAGCCGGCGCGCTAAGGAAATCAAGTAATGAGTCAGCTCCATCTTGGCGATTCCCACAAATGCGCTCATGTAATTGAATAAAAAAAGAACAGAATGGAAAAAAAAAAGAAAAAAAAAAGAAAATGCATGCTTGGAGGTGACGGCCATGTCAAAAAAAGTTTCAATAAACTATTGAGAGGAAAAGGAGTGCCGTATTTTCCGCACTATAAGGCGCACCTAAAAGCATTCAATTTTCTCAAAAGCCGACGGTGCGCCTTATCATCCGATGCGCCTCATCTATGATCCATATTCTGATTTCTTGGACGTGGTATTTTCAATGTTCTGCCAAGCGCTTTGTTACAGCTCCAGCGGTTGTGAAAGCTCGATATAAATAATAAAGCTGGATTGTATTCCTTTGAGCGTAGCTCCATCTAGTGGATGCATAGCGCAACCGCAGCCACTACAGTAGCTTCAATTCTATGCGCCTTATAATGCGGTGCGCCTTATATATGAAAACTGTTTTAAAATCAACCATTCATTGAAGGTGCGCCTTCTACTCCAAAGCGCCTTATAGTGTGGAAAATACGGGTATTTTGGAAGGAAAAAAAAAAGGTGAATTAGTATTTTTAGGAGGAAAAAAAGTCAACGTTACAAGTTAAAGAAAAAAGTCATGGCAGGCTAATGGAACACTCTAAATCAGGGGTGTCAAAGTCCCTTTTGTTGCGGGTCACTTTGGCGTGACGTCTTCCATCGGAGGGCCGTTATGACAGTGAAACCAAATAAATGATTCATCGTCTCATCGTATGATTTCTTGTACAGAACAAATTGATCGATTTCTAGTTTCAAAATCAGTCAATGACAATAATTTGTTCCAGTGTAAACAGGGAAACAGAATTATTGCAAAATATCGACATGATTTATTACACATAAAATTTGACATTTAGGTACAGATTTTAGCAAGGTTCATGCAAGTTGACATGGTTGATTTGCTTCCGCGGGCCACATAAAATGACATGGCGGGCCAGATCTGGCCCCCAGGCCTTGAGTTTGATACCTGTGACGTATAGTAAGGCGTATTTTACATAAAAAAAAAAAAACTACCATGTATAGTAGTGTTTTTTTTAATTTAAAAAAAAAACAACAAAAGAAAACTCATGACCATGCATAGTAAGGTGTTTTTACCAGCAAAAAAAAAAAAAAAAAAGACCATGTATTGCAGGGGTGTCAAACTCATTTTAGTTACCGTTTCCCTTGGAGGGCCGTTATGACTGAAACCAAATTAAAAAAGTCAATAAATAACTTATCAACAATTAATTTCTAAATAATCTATTCAACTATTGTTTATTACTGTAATGAGGGGTTTGGTCACAAGAAAACAGAGTATTTCAAATTTTGTTCGAGATTTTAGCAAGCATCATGGAAAGTTGACATGTTTGATTTGCTTTCTCGGGCCACAGAAAATTATGTGGCGGGCCAGATCTGGCCTTGACACCTGTGCTCTAAATGGTGCCGAGGTGTAATTGTGAGTGCGGCTGTTTTGTCTGTGTGTGCTCTACGATGCCATGTGTGTCTAATGTGCAAGAACTCACCGGCTTTCTTCCAGATTTCTTCAGGGACATAGCCGGAAACGGGCCGATGCAGAAGCTCCCTGTGAATGTCTGGGGAGGTTGCGGGGGGAGACAAACACATACAAATACATCATGAGCCACTGCCCATAATGAAATGGAATATACATCAATCAATGGTTTGCCATCACATCCGACAAGGCAGGTTGTATCGAAAACAAAGTCAGGGGGCTAAGATGTGAGCCTTGAGGAACACCCATTTCAACACATTTTTGGGAAACGTGCAATTATTAAAACACCTCCACCTTTTGTCAAGCGCTTTGTTACAGCTGGAGCTGTTGTGAAAGCGCTGTATAAATAAATTGTATGAAAGTTGCATCAAAACAAATGAAGAAAAAAAGGCTGAGGAGGAAGCTGCGTGAACATCAATTTCGAAACTTTTTTTTCCATACATGTACAAAAATGACACCACTGTTGTTTGAGGCCTCAACGTTTGTTTGAAAGTTTACACTTCATTGAGTAAACCCGCACAGGTAGCGTACAAATACATGAAAAGACAAAGGGATAAGATGTAAGACTTGTGGAATGCCACTTTCAGCACTTGATTAGATCACGTATTCTACTTATGAACGAGCAAATCTATCCCCTGAAGACAAATAATGGCGGGAGGAATCGCAAACCGACCCGCTGCGGTGTTGTCCTGCGCTGCCGGGCTCTGCTGCCGATACTGAGCACTCGAGGCGGCGGCGGCGGCGGCGGCGCTCTTCTTCAGCTCTTCGGCGTCGCTGTAGCGTCGGATCCAGTAGTTGAGCTCCTCACGGTCGGCTTCCTGGCAGCGCCGCAGCACCGTGAGCGAGCGCCGCGTCTTTTCCACCATGTCCATGATGCAGTTCAGCAGCTGTGGGACACGACAAGGGTGCCAAGTTTCCTTCATCCACTATGGGCAATATGAACATAGTCCTTCACCTATTCTCAATCTATGGAGTCTTGATTTAAATGCAATAATTAATCTTAAAATTATTTTTTTTTTAAATTGTATTGTTCCTTCTGAAAATTATATATAATGAGAATGTTGACTTAAATATTCTTTTCAATCAAATAAATCCATCAAATTAACTCATTCAGTACCAGCCAATTCTAGACCCCGCCCCCTTTTTGATTTACCCTAAGGCTTGGAAAAATTTACAAAAAATAAGTATCTGGGGTTTAAAGTGTGAAGTGTGAAAAGACATTTAAACAGGTGACCCCCCCCGCCCAAAAAAAGTGAGCTGTTAAAGATACTTGACAGTAAATCTTTTTGAAATCATGAAACCAAACTAAAATGATTCATTTCATTGCTCACATACGATATTTTCAATGAAATACATTTCTTTTGTGTAATGCAACCAGTTATATGAATGAAACCAATACAAGAAATGTCATGATGCAAATGAAATGTACACGTGGAAAAGGAATCAAATCATTCAAACCGAACAGAAAAGATAGAGCGAGGAGACTTTACAAATGGAGTAAAAGTGATTCGTAGAGCGTGAGTCAGTTAATGATGAGCCAAAGACAAATGCGGGGAGGAAATATATTTAAAAAATGGTTATTACTTTTTTCATTTCATTGCTCACATACGATATTTTCAATGAAATACATTTCTCCCGAATAGAATAAATATGCTTTTTTTTTTTTTTTTTGTGTAATGCAACCAGTTATATGAATGAAACCAATACAAGAAATGTCATGATGCAAATGAAATGTACACGTGGAAAAGGAATCAAATCATTCAAACCGAACAGAAAAGATAGAGCGAGGAGACTTTACAAATGGAGTAAAAGTGATTCGTAGAGCGTGAGTCAGTTAATGATGAGCCAAAGACAAATGCGGGGAGGAAATATATTTAAAAAATGGTTATTACTTTTCTTACATGGTCAAGGTGCTTCCACTCCTCAGCCCACTCCCTGTCCGTCAGCCGGTGGTCGATCACTTCTTCCTGGCGCCCTCCCGCGTGAAGGCCTGCGACGAGACGCCCACAAAGGCACCGTCAAGCTCGCCGAGGGCTCCGGCAGCGTGCGGCAAGGCACGATTCTTTGAAAACTTGACTCCCGGTCGTTCAGACGGGAGCTCGGAGAAGAAGTGATGCAAGCGTGGCGCAACCGCGGTAACCGTTGACTCGGCCTCGGCGGTCACAGCCCAGTCAAAAAGTCATTTCGGATTGCGTCATCAAGACCTTTATTTCGACGCGGTTAGAATTTGGGCAACTTACCGATGGATCGGGCCCTGTCGCGGATCTCCCTGTGATTGGCGGGCGGGTGTCGGTAGCCGTCGCGGTAGTGGTGGTGGGCGATGGCGGCCACGTCATCCAGCCGGTAGTGCGGCAGCGGTGGCGGCGGCGGGCCGGCCGAGTGGCCCGGGCCGTTGGGCGGGGACGCGATGCCGTTGGATGGGCTGAAGCGCTGGCCGGGGCTGACGGTGCACGGCCGCTTGCTCGGATGGACGTCGGGCCCGTACGGGCCGCCGTCGCGGTCAAAGCCGTTCTCTTTGGTCCTGGACATATCCGCCATCCGTGACTTTAAGAAACACCTCTCACTTTTTTTTTTTTTTTTTTTGTCTTCAGAAGTGAAGTGCATTGTGTTGCTAGCATGACTTGGTCGGAATAATTGAAGTTATTATCTCACAATATTTTGTGGTGATATGTTTTAACTGCAGCGGTCAGTTTATCATATTATCGAGTTATGAAAGGTCTAATATGGTCAGTTGTTGTTCATGGTGTTACTTTTGGGCAGGAGCGCCCATTACGTCGATCGCGATCGATCGACCGGTAGATCGCGGACTGGTCCCAAGTCGATCGCGAGGGGTGTCGAGGAGAAAAGAAACAAACAACCATTTGTGTGTCTTTGTGCATGTTAGTAATATTTTTTTTGTGTGTTCATGTACACTGCACCCTAATCATCCTATCCGTCTCATTTTCACAAAAAGTATAAAAAAAATAATAAATAAATACAATAAAGCAGGTAAATCTTTAACCTGCGGTGGCGCGTGAGCTACGTCACCGGAAGTTGTTAGCGCTCAGCAGTCTGCAATTGCAGCTTGTGATCGGAGCTGTTGCGCTCGATCTTTTATCGTTATCAATATTCTCATTCAGCATTTGTTTCGTGTACAATTCACCGAGGGCACGGGCAAAGAATAGGAATCTGGAGGGTCGAGGGAGGCACTTTAAAACGGTACGTGTGAGCTACGATCGTTAACATACCCACAATCTTGCTGCTGTAGACTGTAAATTTCCCCAGTGTGGGACAAATAAAGGATATCTTATCTTATCTTAACTCATTCACTCCCAAAGACGTATTTCGATGTCTTTTCAGACGCCACACATTTCATCCCAGCTCCTCATTTTATATTGACTGTACTTGAAAAGGGTCTGAAAATGGCTGGCCATTTTCAGACATCTAAATACGTCTTTGGGAGTGAATGAGTTAATAGGCTGCAAAAGTGCGTCGCATGCCTCCGTGTCAGGCTGTTGCTCATCGTGGCGTGCGCGTGTATGTGCGTGCGCGGTAATGGGTCGATCGCGGGAGGTTGCTTGATCGAAAAGTTGATCTTCGCTCCCAAAAGTTTGGGCACTCCTGCTCTTGGGAGTAAAAACACGCTCCGGTGCGTTCGCGAGTGTTACTTTGTCGTCATGAATCCTATTTGAGTTCATGCTCTGTGTTCATGAAGCTTGTTCATTTGAGTGGCCAGTTTTTGAGTCGGCGAGTCACATGACAGTTGAACAAAGGGGATGTGAATTCACGGGGTTACTGTGCGACATGATTAGCAGTACTTTTTTGTCGTAAAATAATGATTTTTGTGCCACGGCAGTTTCTTATATGTCGTAAATGAGACGACTCAACGTTCTTGCTTTGGAGTTTCATAAATGCAGCGACTTCGCCAATCTAGACGTTTGAGCTTTGTGTCACTCCATCCACATTTTCACTGGTCGTTTTGCCTTCTGCTATTCACGCGACGTCAAAAATCGGCTCCGAGTGGAGACGCGAATAGTGTTAATGACGCCAACGCTGGCCTGCTGACGACGAAACGCCGTCTGTTCACGTTAACGCGCAAACTTGGTTTTTTTTTTTTGTTTTTAACGCACGCACAAATGTACAAGCGCACACACGTACTGTACGGTATATTCCCACAAGTCCCTTTCATCAGATCAGGTGGATTTTGCAGCAGAGATGAATGTTGCCAGGTGTGTGTGTGTGTGTGTGTGTGTTTGTGCGCGTGTTGATGGTGCAATCACCCCCCCGCCCCCCCCAATGAACAGATTGAACTTGTTAATGAGCTGTTTTTATGGGCTTCTAATACTCAGGTCAACGAGGTAACGCGCGCGAGCAAGCAATGCCAACACAGACTGTGCTGCTGCTAGGAGAAGCTAATAACTAGCTGCTAGGCTAGCTGGCCAACATCAACCACTACTACAACCATCACCGCCATCCGCAGTAGCCGCCGAGCGTCTTCATCCTCGTCGCCGCTCCGCTGTGTCGCCTCCTCTGTCGTTTTCCTTCCTCTCCACCCGAAGCGCGGCCCCCCCATAACTCCCACCCGCACCACTTTCCTCCCCACCCACCGCATTTTGTTTTCAAAATATCTCTTATTTTGGGAGTAAAAGTTAAATGATTGATGCAAGTTTAATTTTTTTTGCCCCTCCCACTGCACACTTGTTCTATGAAGTTTTTATTTTTCGAGAAATGTCGGTTCACAGTGTTCATAAATGTTAAACTTTTTTTTTTCCCCAAAGGCTTGCAGAAGTTTTGAGTGATATGAAAACGACATTTTTTTTGTTTCTCACATGCAACGTGAAGGGGATTTTGTTTACGAGTCAATTTTGAATGAAATGACAGCTTGATGTTTATATTTTACATCTGGAGTTTCATTCGAAATGTGGGGTGTATCTTTATTTGATTGCGTCTTGAAATCAGACATGCTTATTTTTTGGAAATTACAGATTGTACTCGTTTGTATGAAGGATAATCCAATCAGGTAGTATTTGGGGGGGGATGGCGGGAGGGGCTCACCTGTCGGGCGTGCGCCGCTTTCCGTTGTCGTTGACGTCGAGCAGCAGCTCGGACGAGTCGACGGGCGACGAGGTGCTGGTGTCCAGCAGCAGCTGCTCGTGCTGGGCCAGGTACTGCGCTGGGTTCTGCTTGGCCAGGCGGGCGCAGTGCAGGAGCTCCCGCTGCAGGAGCGGCAGGTTGGCCTGCAGGGGGGGGTAGAAATGCCAAATGAGTTCATACATTGGGGGGGTGGGGGGGAAATCCGGTTAGGTGTCATTGGGGTCATTAGTGCGCGACGCCGCCGCTTTTACTTCTTTTCAAACACTCGAGATCTGGTTGCTCGCGGCCGGAAGGTCTCTGCTCGACGCGGGGAAACCACCAAGGGAGTTCAGACATGAGCCACTGTTCCCATGCAAAATGACATTTAATATAGAACCCTCCGTTAAGAGTGTCTTCTGAGGTCGCCTGCGAGAGCAAACTACAGAGGGAGTTCATACAGGACACTAAGTAATGTGTCTTGACGGAATTTCACCATCATCTGCTTTCACTTTCCCCGCAGACCCCCCCCCCCCCCCCCCCCCCGGGAAGCATTGTTTTTGGTTTGGCCCGAGTCTCGAGCAATCTTGCGGCATCGGGTTCCACGCGGGGGCACGCTCAGCCCGCCGCGCTAACATTAGCGTCAGGAAATCCAGCCATTGTTGCGTGCGCCTCGAAATGCAAGACACACACTGCGCCACCATATGCTCGCTGGCATTTAAGGTCCCGCAGCGGGCAGCCACTAAATTTAGACTTGGGGGTGCGGGGGGATGAGAGAGGAGCAAATGTAGCGATGGAGGAGACGAAGGAGAAAAAAAATGAAATAAAAAAAAGAGGAAAGGGTTTCTGGGCTGATGCGCAAACCATCTGCTGAAAGAAGCGCAAGACGACAATCGGGCGCCGCTGACGCCCCCAAAAGATCAGCGGCCGGCGAATGGCGGCCGGCTTTTGCTCGAATTTTGCGCATCATCAAGGTGATTGACCCCTTCAGGGACGGCGGTCACGACAGTGGACAGCTTACCATGTGATCATTATTGATGCATGAAAGGGTTCAAATTGCAAAACAGATTTCTGTGACGTTCATGAAACAAAAAGCAAAACTACATTTTATGTTTTGAAAACGCCGCCCGACATCGGAGATGGTTTGAAATGTTACGAAATGAATTTTTGATGCTGATTTCAATAATGTCTTGATGATTTATTTTCAAGCAATTTTTTTTTTTTGTGGATAATTTCATGTTTTGTTCTGCAGTGTGACCTCAAACAGGTTGCGCCATTCCAATTGTAGCAAAAAAAAAACAAAAAAAAAAACAGCCGTGATGCAAAACTTGGCGAGAAAAGTTTATCAGTATCTCAGATTTAAAAGAAATAAAAAAAAAATGTCATCAACGCGTGTTACTTGGTGTTTTACATGCTGCTGCTTACTCGGGACTTTTTGGATGTCAAGGAGAGGATGATGATGGCGTTACCTTGAGGAAGGGGATGACGAAAGGTCGCAGGGGGAAGTTGGTGGCTTCGTGGAGTTTGCAGTGGAACTCCTCGATGGTTAGTGTGGAATTCTGCGCCCAAACACACACACGGAAGTCCATGTGGAAGACATTAAGTGAGAACAGTCCTCTCTGCAAGAGTGAGTGTGTACGTGTGCGCGCGCGCTAACAGGAAGCACATGTACGGGTTGAGAGGAACAAATATCTTCTTTGACAAAAACAAATAAATCAAGCGAGTCGAGTCACGCCGCAAGAAAATGAGATGTTGGCAAGGTTGTTGCCTTCTTTTGTTTTTTTTTCTTCAAAAAAAAAAACACAACTTGATGTTCACTTTGCTCAAACGATAACATGACTCAGGCCCCAAAATGAAGCCTGTTTCGGATTTTTTTTTTTTTTGTGGGGCCGATTCCGATTATTTGGCAGAACAAAATTCTGATAACTGATTAATCTGCCAATTAAAAAAAAAAATCGATAATCAATAAAACTGCTCCTTTTATGGCCCCTTTAGGCTTCCAACAACAAAGAGTTACAGGCCAGACTTGGTCTTTTCGAATGTGTTTCACTTTACAACAGAGTGGGACCAAAAAAAAAAAAAAAATTGTCAAACATAGGTCGACCAACATTTTGGTGATCAATACTTGAATGTCATTATATCTCATGTTGTTCTGATAACTGATTAATCTGCCAATTAAAAAAAAAAATCGATAATCAATAAAACTGCTTCTTTTATGGCCCCTTTAGGCTTCCAACAACAAAGAGTTACAGGCCAGACTTGGTCTTTTCGAATGTGTTTCACTTTACAACAGAGTGGGACCAAAAAAAAAAAAAAAATTGTCAAACATAGGTCGACCAACATTTTGGTGATCAATACTTGAATGTCATTATATCTCATGTTGTAATGCACAGGTGTCAAACTCAAGGCTCAGCGGCCAGATTTGTCCCGCCACATCATTTTCTGTGGCCGGCGAAAGCAAATCCAACATGTCAGCTTCCATGATGCTTGCTTAAATCTCGACCAAATTTTTAAAAAAAATTCTCACATGTAATTAATAAGAGCTAACTATTGTAAGCAACGTCTTAACTCAGGGCCCAGCGGCCAGTTTTGCCCCGCCACATCATTTTCTGTGGCCGGCGAAAGCAAATCAAACATGTCAGCTTCCATGATGCTTGCTTAAATCTCGACCAAATTTTTAAAAAAAAATTCTCATATGTAATAAATAAGAGCTAGCTATTGTAAGCAACGTCTTGTTACCAAAACCCTCATTACAGTAACTGCAACAATAGCTGAATAAACCGGTATTATTGACTTCTTGATATGGCTTTGGTCATAATGGCCCACCAAGGGAAACGGTAACAAAAATGAGTTTGACACCTCTGTTGTGATGTGTTAATTAAAAAAAGCAACGTCTTGTTACCAAAACCCTCATTACAGTAACTGCAACAATAGCTGAATAAACCGGTATTATTGAATTCTTGTTATGGTTTTGCTCATAACGGCCCACCAAGGGAAACGGTAACTAAAATGTGCCCCGTGACAAAAATGAGTTTGACACCTCTGTTGTAATGTGTTAATTAAAAAACAATCAAAATCAAAAACAGCCATCAACAAAAAAATAATCAGATTTTTTTCCCCTCCATCTTTCATACGCCTGTTCCGTTTGTGGGTTAGACACAAAACATTCTTGTTGACATATCTGGACACCCAGCAGAAGTGGAAATCCTCTTATTTAATTTGGATTGATCCTTTTCTTTTTCCATTTTATACTTCACATTTTTTTCACTCTTTTTTTTTTTGTACATGAAACATGCACTATAGAATTGAACAGCATGGGGGGGGGGGGGGGGGGGGGGGTAAGGGAAACAAAACACGGAGCTGCGTTGCCTGCTCCTCCTCTGGCGCCCTCATTTCCCACGACTGAATTTTGTGGCATCTGTCGGCCCAGATTGCGGATGGCTTGCCTCGCCTCGCCTCCCCGGAGCCGGCAAACCGCCTCATTAACATTGCCGCTACCTTGGAGGCGGCAGCGGGGGATGGCGAGGCGGAGGCGCGTCGCACCAGCGCCAAACCGGGACGGCTCAAAAATAGCAACCTGGCGTTCGATTCCCACCTCGCACTTGCCAACGTGATAACGCCTTGACGTTTATTTACATTTCCGTCTTCTACTCCGCGCATAATAAACGCCAAAAACTCATCGGGCAGGGTTTCAAGCAAGAGTTAGGGCTTGCAACAAGCTTGAGTCAGGTGTTCAGAGCAAGGCTCTGAGTCAGGGTTTAAAATGGGGTTTCCACCAACAGTTCGGGTTTCAAGCCAGGGTTGGGATTCCAATACAGAGTTGGTGTTTCAAAGTAGGGTTTCAAGGCAGGGTTGGGTTTAAAATACGCTTCCAAGCCAAGTTTAGGGATTCAAACAAGAGTTGGGCTTTTCAAATAGGATTTCAGTCCAGAGTTAGGATTTCAAACCAGGGTTTGGGTTTCAAATTCAGTTTTTAAGACACAGGACTCAAGTGGGGTTTTAACATTGGGTTAGACCACAGGCGTCAAAGTCAAGGCACGGGGGCCAGATCCGGCCCGCCACGTCATTTTATGTGGCCCGCGAGAGCAAATCATGTGTGACAACTTTTGTGATCCTTGCTGGAATCTGGACCGAAATGTCAAATGGTCACGGGTAACAAATAACGTTGAGATTTTGCATCGGCCCTCCGAGGGAAGCCGTAACTTCGAAGTGGCCCGTGACAAAAAATGAGTTTGATACCCCTGAGTTAGACTGTCATCGGATTAGGTTTTACAAGGAAGGTTTCAAGATCAGGGTTTCAAATACAGTTTGGGGTTTCAAGCCAGGGTAGAGACGGGGTCCAAAAATATGCTTTGAAGCGCGCATGCGTTACTCACCACCAAGCCGAGGACAAGCGTGCGCACGCGTTCGCCGATCTCGGGCGAGATGTCGTTTCCAAACTGCTGCAGCGTGGTGAGGAAGCGCTTGAGCTTGCTCAGCTGCCGGGCGCCGCACGCCGGCGGCAGTTGCTGATTGGCCAGCGACGACGACGATGACGAGCCTGGCCCGTTGCCGTAGCCGTTGGGCGGCGACGGCGCCCCGTTCAGCGCCGTGGGCGAGTGGCTGCTGCTGCCATTCGTCACTGGGAAACAAAAGCGCAGGGCAGGCCGGGTCAATAAACTCATCACATTCACATTTCGGGCTCACAAACTTTCAGTAGAGTGCTGTCTTCAGTGCTTCCGCTCCGCCATGTTGTTTTCATTTGATATTCTCATAGAGCGGACGAATCGACACAATGGACGGCCCGAACCAAAGTACTGTTTTCTCCGCACTATAAGCAGGGTTGGGGTTTAAAATACGCTTCCAAGCCAAGTTTAGAGATTCATGTCAGCTTCCATGATTTCAAATAGGATTTCAGTCCAGAGTTAGGATTTCAAACCAGGGTTTGGGTTTCAAATTCAGTTTTTAAGACACAGGACTCAAGTGGGGTTTTAACATTGGGTTAGACCACAGGCGTCAAAGTCAAGGCACGGGGGCCAGATCCGGCCCAAGTGGGGTTTTAACGTTGGGTTGGACCAGGTATCAAAGTCAAGGCCCGGGGGCCAGATCCGGCCCGCCACGTCATTTTATGTGGCCCGGGGGAGCAAATCATGTGTGACAACTTTCATGATCCTTGCTGGAATCTGGACCGTCATCCAATGCGCCTTATATAGCAATCAATATTGTGATTTCTTGGACGTAGTATTTGAGCTCATTCACTCCCAAAGACGTATTTAGATGTCTTTACAGACTTTTCTGATCATTTTATGTGGCCCGCGAGAGCAAATCATGTGTGACAACTTTTGTGATCCTTGCTGGAATCTGGACCCAAATGTCAAATGGTCACGGGTAACAAATAACGTTGAGATTTTGCATCGGCCCTCCGAGGGAAGCCGTAACTTCGAAGTGGCCCGCGACAAAAAATGAGTTTGACACCCCTGAGTTAGACTGTCATCAGAAAAGACATCTAAATACGTCTTCGGGAGTAAATGAGTTAAATGTTCTGCCAAGCGCTTTGTTGCAGCTGCAGTGGTTGTGTTTTGTATTGTATTGTATTCTTTGAGGGTAGCTCCATCTAGTGGATGCATAGCGCAACCGCAGCCACTATTGTAGCTTCTATTCCATGCGCCTTATAATGCGGTACGCCCGATATATGAAAACAGTTTTGAATTTTATTGAAGGTGCGCCTTATACTCCGACGCGCCTTATAGTGCGGAAAATACGGTAACTTTGGCGGCAATGTGACATGGATATGTCCACCCATTTTCTGATATGCTTTTCCTCATGAGGGTCGCGGGCCTCACACCGAGAGACAATTTAAAGCAGGGGTGTCAAACTCATTTTTCTCGCGGGCCACATTGTAGTTCCAGTTTCCCTGAGAGGGCCATGATGACAGTGAATTTTGTAAAACCGTATACATGTTTAATCACCTCCACATATTACATATTCAGCGCACAACAAATTGGTGGATAACTAGTTTTGAAATCAGAAGTCAAGAATGATGGTTTGTTCAGCCATTGCTGGCGTTAATGTAATAAGTACGTTAAAAGTATCTCGATGTTATGATGGATTTCATATGACAATTTGAAATTTTGGTTCAGACTTGAGCAAGCATCATGGAAAAGTTGACATGTTTAATTTGCTTTTGCGGGCCACACAAAATGATATGGCGGGCCAGATCTGGCCCCGGGCCTTGGGTTTGACACCTGTGTTTTAAAGTATTCCATTAACCTGCCACATGTTTTTGGAATGTAGGAGGAAACCGGAGTACCCGGAGAAAACCCACGCAGGCATGGGGAGAGCATGCAAACTCCACACGGGAAGGCCGGAGCCGGGCTCGAACCCTGCAGCACTGCAGTGTGAGGTGGATGCATGGGGAGAGCATGCAAACTCCACACGGGAAGGCTGGAGCCGGCCGGGATCGAACCCTGTACCACTGCACTGTGAGGCGGACGTGCGAACCAGTCGTCCACCGTAGTTTGTGAATGCACGTTTTCGCATCAAAAATTGCATCTTCATCCCCTTTTAAAACACCACTGAGGATTTACCGTAGTTTGTGAATGCACGTTTTCGCATCAAAAAATTGCATCTTCATTCCCTTTTAAAACACCACTGAGGATTTTTCAGGGGAAATAATTGTTGGCATGAAAACTGTGTGTGTGTGTGTGTGTGTGTGTGTGTGTGTGTGTGTGTGTGTGTGTATACAGGGGCTGACTGGATTGTGTGTGTTTTCAATTAGATGAAGAGGCCCCTCCTCCTCTGGCCGACATCCGAACAAGCGATGCTCCAGCGTCACATCTGCTAAAAATTGAAGTCACACTGCAAATCAAAGAAAGAAAGAAAGAGGTTCCGATAGAAAGGCCCCCCTCTCCCTCCCCCCCACACACACATACACAGTTTCCCATCCGCCATGTTTAATTGCGACATGTTTTCATTGGGAAGGAGGAATCCAACAGCTTTGATTTACTGGCTCCCAGGAACGTGTCAATACTGGCCTTTGAGAAGCGAAGCAGACAAACGTGGAACAAATTGTTAAGGTGCTATCATACCACAATGGTTGGTATCTGACCCCCCGCCCCAAAAAAATCTCATATGGTTTGGAGAAAGAACCCTTGGTGGTGCCTTGGAACAAAAATAATAATAATAATAATAATAAAGCTGTCTCAACTCTGCTCTTTTGATACCCTACCAGAACAAAAATAATAATAATAACAATAATAATAATAATGCTGTCTCAACTCTGCTCTTTTGATACCCTACCACTGTGGTTTGCACGCACATTTTGGGGTGCCAATATGTCGCAGCGTTTGATGTTATTTGGGTATTTGGCTTGGAGGTGTTATTTTGGCAGCCTTCGTCAAGATCGCAAAGGGCAGGGGGCCAAAAAGTCAGATCATTAGGGACCACTTCCGACGCTGCAGCCCCAAAACCAACAGATACTACACTCTCATTCGTGACACCCACGTCACTCACCAAGCCAAGTCGCGCCTTTTCAAGCCACGCACATTCATAGTCACAGAAGATACAAAAGTGGAGAAGAGAGGGAGGGCGACCCCAAGTGGAAAAGAAAAAAAAAAGACATCCCGCACCTCATTTTGTGCAGAGAATTCTCTCCAATTCCCGGCTGTGGAAAAGTGGGGTACTCACGAGTGGTGGGGGTGTAGGAGCTGTTTCGGGGGGCTCCTTGCGTGCTGGGCGGGGGCGGCATGGCGGGGGGGGGCCGCCCGGTGCGTGTCTTGACACACGGCG